CTATTCAGCCTCCGCAAGAGAAGGTTGAGAGGCGACCTTGTGGCTGCCTATAAGTTCATCACGGGGGCACAGAAGGGAATTGGTGAGGTTTTATTCACCAAGGCGCCCCCGGGGGTTACAAGAAATAATGGCCACAAGCTAGCAGAGAGGAGATTTAGATTGGACATTAGAAAGAACTTCTTCACAGTTAGAGTGGCCAAGGTCTGGAACGGGCTCCCAAGGGAGGTGGTGCTCTCCCCTACCCTGGGGGTCTTCAAGGAGGTTGGATAGGCATCTAGCTGGGGTCATTTGACCCCAGCCCTCTTTCCTGCCTATGCAGGGGGTCGGACTCGATGATCTATTGAGGTCCCGTCCAACCCTAACATCTATGAATCTATGAAACATTTCAGTTCTACTGTTGCTTTCATTATCTATGATTCAGCAACAAACAAAGAAAAGAACACATGTGGTATTTTGCACTCTAGACTTGAAAATGGAATGGATTATACTCAAGCTGTAACAAAGAGCTATTAAATACTACTTTTCTTTTTTATAATTGCATGTGCCTGATAAAAATCATTCTTCAGTACGAAAATGATTATTTTGTTAGTCTCAAAAGGTTGTTTTTTAAAGTGTTTGATTGCTTTCAAAGATATACAGTGGATATCAGTTAAATTTTAAAATCAGAACTTAGATTTTTTTTTTTTTATTTAGTTCCACTTTATATGAAACAGTTCATAAGTATTTTACAAGGGATTAGCAAATAGTGTAAGCATGTTTTATAAATGAGTAACTCATGCTTCGGATGCTTATAAGGACACTATCAGAAGGTGTTCAAGCTGTTTGAAAGCTATATATTGACATTTGCAATCTATAACTATATATAATTGATTAATTGTTTATTTAAATAGCTATTAGTTATTTACTAACTCTTTATATACTATTTATAAATGGAAAGTTAATCTAAATACTGACCTTTTCCCTATATGCTGGTAAAATGATCTTTACTTTTAGGGCTAGTGATAAGACAGCAGCATCAATTAACTTTTAATGCTCCCCTTTCTTCCCCCTAGGTTTATTAGAAAACAGGGTCTGGATAGGCTTTTCCTGGAATGTGATACTCACATGTGGCGCCTTGGAGACCGGAAAATCCCAGAAGGAATCACTGTAGATGGAGGATCAGACTGGTTCCTACTGAACAGGAAGTTTGTGGAGTATGTCATTTTCTCCGATGATGATCTGGTGACGAAGATGAAGAGGTTTTACTCTTACACATTGCTTCCTG